CTATTTCACCCTCCTGCCTCGGCTCTCCTTTACCTCCCTGTCCCTTTCCCCATCCCTGGCGTTCCCCTGTGCTTCTGTAGAGTTCGTGGCTTCTTCTTTTGGCTTTTCGTCTTCTTTATCCTCTGAGCTGTTCCCCTCCGTCCCTCTTTCTGTCCTTCTCCAAATTGTAAGGCTTTGTGCTTTCACTGCTGAAGACGTCATCTGGGGAGGAAAAAGCGAATTTTAGCCGAGTTCAGTACTCGGATGGAAATGGGTGCTGTGGAAATTGAGGGGCAGCTGATGTGCTCCAGAGCAGGACAGAGGGGAGTTTTCCATTCCTGGGTGCAGATGATGGGAATGATGATTACCTTTATGTGAGGGAAATATTGCTGCTTTCCTGCTTTTCTTTAGCTCTTTGATGAAGCTTTTGCTCACGTCATCCAAGGCCTGAAAATGATGTGGCTCTTAATAAAAGCCCCAGAAATGCAGTTACATACCCAAGTTTTCCCTGTTTCGCTCTCTGCTATCATCACTTGGTCCTTTCCTACCACAAAACTCTCCACTTCTCTGGCATTACTGCCTGGAATGTCCCAGCTGGGGTAACAGCTACTCACAGGTGCTGCCCTGAGCTTCTCCTGCCTTACCGCAATGATGGTGCTTTGAGCAGCTTCGCTGGACAAAAGCTTTGCCTTCTCCAGGGCCCTTTCAAAGCTCACGATTGCAGACCTGTAATCCTTTAGTTTCACTGGAACAGACAAGGGAACCAGCTGGTTTAACCCAGGATCAGGAGAGCAACAAGAGCTAATCAAGCCAGTCTTGATCTGAGCAGTTGCTTTGGCTGTTAAATCCCCAAGATTTAACTTCAGCTTCTCCACTCTGAAAGTAAAAATCTGTGCCAACACCTTTACCTTGTGCCTGTGCTACCAGCATGGTGGCATGGAGCTGCCACTCCACATCTCCCTCTTCATCCGCTGACTGCAGAGACTTCTCTCCGTAACCCTGGGCTGCTTTGGCTCCATCCAGCTCCAGGTAACACCGGCCAATTTCATGGAAAAGCCAAGCCTTCTCCAGGCTGGATTTTGTCATTGGAATTTTCTTCTCCCACCTTCAGCAGAGACAGACACACATTTACCACTCCTCACTGGGTGCAGCTATGGTTCAGTCTGGTAACAAAGGGTTCAAGTATGAAGACTTCCCCAGCCCCTGCTGCAGCGTGAGCACACACTGAACAGCCACAGCCTCCCAGAGCCTCCCAGAGCCTCCCCAAGCCCTGCTGGGCTGTACATACGTGTCGATGGCCTGCTGGAACCTGCTGCTTTGGGCGTGCACGAGGCCGATGTTGCCCAGGGCTTGGGACACAGCATCAGGCAGAGCACTGTGACAGGGACAGACAGGGATTAGGGCACTGCCATCATCTGTGCCCAACCCACTCGGGGCTGCTTCAGCCTCAAGGCCCCTCTGGTGCTCCCCACGGGCCCAGGAATGTGTTGGGAAATAGAGTCAATGTCAGGCTGAAAGTAATGAAATCAAGGTGGATTTTTGATTTATCTACAGCTGTGGCAACTGATCTCACGAGACACAGCAAAATGGTTCAGCTTGGGCTTTGGTTATTATTATTATTTGCTGGGCAAATCTGGTAGTCTTTGTGAAGGTTTTTCCACTTTTCTTTCTTCAGTTTCCCTCTGTGTCCCTGACACTCACAGATGATTTCTGTCTTCCAAAGGGAAGACCCAAACCTGCAGGCTCCTGGTGCCAGCCCTGCTCCCTGAGCTTGCACCAAGCTTTGCCCCACACCACAGTCAGATCCTTCTATAATTGCAGAACCTGTGATTTTTCTTTAGTTACCCTCCAAAGCACCTTTGCCTGCCTTTACCTGAGAGATGGAAAAGCCCCTGAGAGGAGCGGGTAAATGCGATAGGAGTCATGGAATCATAGGCTGGTTTGGGCAGAAAGGGACGCTAAGGATCACCCAGTTCCAGCCCCGTGCCACGAGGTCATTAACTCGAGTCATTAACGAGTCATTAACGGCGCTTCCAGCCGCAGCCGCTAGAGGGCGCGACCCGACCGTGGCCTTTGGGTCCTTAAAGAAACTCAGTGCGAAAAGGTCCCAAACCAGAAACCTCCTCAGTCATCATCACCCTGAGACTCGGGCAGAGCCGAACACGCGGCCCTGATAAACCTCCAGGGGAGAATTATAGCATTACCTAACGCCAAAACACCTCCACAGAGGTACTCTCCCCACCCACCTGAATTTCTTAGCACTTACCTCTGCCTAGCACAGTCCAGACTCATCTCGTAGCTGCGCAGAGCTGCCTCCATCTGTCCCATCTCCAGCTGTGCATCCCCAATGCAGCTGTAGAGGTTCCCAATCAGTTCCTTCTTGTTGGGGACTTCATCCTCTCTCCAGCCTTTCACTGTTTTCAGCACACGCTCAGCTTTCCTGCAGCTTTCCTCAGGGGAGCCCTCGGCCAGCACTGGGGACAAGGAGCAGAGCTGGTCATTGGGGTGTGACACAGAGATATTGAGAAGCTGTGGATTCCCCATCCCTGGAAGTGTTCCAGGCCAGGTTGGACAGGGCTTGGAGCAACCTGGTCTAGTGGAAGGTGTCCCTGCCCATGGCAGGGATGGGATGAGGTGAGATTTAAGGTCCTTCCAAGCCAAACCATCCTGGGATTCTGTGATGCTGGCACAGTGAGACCTGGTGCAGTGGGTGAGCCTGAGCCAAGTCTTGGGAAGGGTCAGAGCTCCCCTTAGCAGTGGGAGGCACTCAGCCTCCAGCCAGGAACCTACACGTCTCGATGTCCTCCATACTCTTCGCAACGGATGCGCCAAGCTCCGCTGGTTTCTGTCTCCTGCCCCGGATCCACCTCTGCTGCCGCAGCCTGCGCTCACGCACGCGCGCGTACATCGGCTTCTGCTGCTGCCAGAACTCTCGGCGCCTGTCCAGGTAGGAGATCCCTCCCAGAACCAGGTCTGCCACCTTGACCCCCTGCCTGGTGCTGCTCTGCATCAGCTCTGGAAGTCAGATAAGGCAGAACCAGGTGAGTATCAACACACCTGAGCTGCAGGAGGGAATTCCTTGGGAATGTTTTGCTGCTCTGGCACAAGTCAGGAAGGGTCAAAGGAATGTAAAAGAAGAGTGGAAAAGAATAAAAGGATAAAAAGAAAAGAAAAAATAGATCCTGCTTAGAAGGAACATCTAGTAGAACACAATGGAGAAATACCTTCATCCTTGAGCAGCTTCTCCAGGTAGGCCTTGTCAGCATAAAGCTCTCCCAGAAGCTGCCGCTCTGTTCTTGGGTTCCTCACAGGCTCCTGCTTCCTCGTCCTTTTCTGATCCTTAGTCACTTTACTGTGCAGCTTTTGACTGGCTTTTCTGCTCTACAGAGAGAAAAGAAAGCACAGAGAATTGAGGTTGAGCACTGGAGGACACAGGAATGAGCAGAATTGTTTATATTCCATATAAACCAACTGATTTTTTTTTTTTAAAAAAGTGAAAATTCAGTGTCTCAGTAGCTGTTTGGGGCATGAGCAATTGAATTCTGCAGCAAATTTTGGTCCCTGAGCTCCAGGAGCAGGAGAGGGTGTTAGAGCAAGAACTAGTTCTGGGCTCTTGGAAGAGCAGGACCTTTCTGCAGGAAGTGTCCATTATCCTAACTGTGACTTCTGAACCTCAGGCAAAGCCAAGGTCAGTATTGGAGCTCACTGTGCCCTGCTCAACTTCGGGGCTGTTACTCATTAGCCTCAGACGGGTAAGTGGCAACACCCCCAGGAATGGGCTGGAGGAGGAACTCCAAACTGGGATTTGTTCCTCCACAGAGGCTCTTCCCTGCCCTTCTCCTTCTCCTTTCCATCCTGGATGGTTTGAGCCAGACCTGTGTTAGGATCAGGTGGACAAACACTCCCACGATGGGTCAGTGAGCTGTGATGCTAAGGAGGTCCTTCCCTGGACCCCACATCCATGTCCCTGCAGGGACTGCCACCCTCTCCTGCCCTTTTCAGGCAGTTTATCATTCCAGGAACCCTGGAAACCTCCCCGGCAGGAGCTCCTGCTGTACCTCTGCCTGTCTGCTCACAAAACACAGCTCCTCCTTCTTCTCCAGCTTCACCGAGGAAGGACCTGCAGGCACACAGAAAATGGTGTTAGTGCCCCAAAACAGCTGTGCAGGGGCTTTGGGAAGGAAATGCCAACAAGGGTGCCAAGTCTGCAGAGTCCAGTTTGAACTGGAGCTTGTCTAATCCTTTCCCATGGAGCAAGGGTGTTGGTGTGTTCTGGGAGCAGGGAATGCAGCTCATCCACCAGCTCCCCTCGGGGTTTTAATCCCTATTTCACCTGGCACTGGGAGCTCCCACTGCAATGTTCCTACAGAGACAGCTACATCCTGCATGGAAGCTGAGGCAGGGGAAGGATGCACGTTTTGGAGGATCACAGCTGGAGTGTAGGATGGAAGGAAAGCTCCAAGCACAGGGAGCTCCTGTAATCCAAAGAATTATTTAAAGGTTTGTGCACTGAGATTGGGGCAATACTCCCATTTTGTGTTAACTGCCCCCAGTCCCATCTGTGCCCTGGGAGGGGAGGAACAGCTCTTGGATTTGGGTGGTCCAAAGGGAGGACAGAGCTTCCCAGGCTGCAGCAGGAGGAATTCCTTTGGCACAGCCTCAGGCCCAGACCAGCAGCGCAGGGACACATGGATCATGGGGGTGGGAGGTCCCAAACCTGCCAGGGAAGCAGTTTGGGGATGTGCCCTGTTACTGTGAGCATTTCCCAACTAGTCAAACACCCACATCCATGCTGACATGCTTCCTTGCTTCCCTTGTGTCCAGAAGCTATTGATTTATGAAAAATACCCAGAGTTTTCTAGTGTTTTAATCTGTCCCTGCACCTGAAACCCAGGGCTCGAGGGCATTTGGAGCTCTTGGCTCGGGCTGTGGAGCCTGGGAAGGTGTCAGCTGAGAGCTGTGATGGGATCTGGG